TCAAATATTTGGGAATAAATCTAACAAAAGAGGTAAAGGACCTATACAAAGAAAACTATAAAACACTGTTAAAAGAAATAGAAGAAGACACAAAGAAATGGAAAGACATCCCCTGCTCATGGATTGGAAGAATAAACATTATTAAAATGGCCATCCTACCAAAAGCAATATACAGATTCAATGCTATGCCAATCAAAATCTCAATGGCATTCTTCAAAGAAATAGAACAATTATTGATGAAATTCATATGGAATCACCAAAAACCCCGAATAGCCAAAGCTCTACTGAAAAAAAAAGAAGGAAATGGAGGCATCACACTCCCAGACTTCAAACTCTACTACAAAGCCATAATCATCAAAACTGCATGGTATTGGAACAAGAACAGACATACAGACCAATGGAATCGAATAGAAAATCCAGAAATAAACCCACAGATTTATGGTCAACTAATCTTTGACAAAGGAGCAAAGACTATGCATTGGAGCAAAGAAAGTTTGTTCAATAAATGGTGCTGGGAAAACTGGGTCGCTACATGCAAAAGAATGAAGCTTGACCACTACCTCACACCATACACAAAAATCAACTCAAAATGGATTAAAGAACTAGACATAAGACCTGAAACCATAAAATACATAGAAGGAAATATAGGCGAAACACTACGGGATTTGCACATCAAAGACATCTTTACAGACACATCACCCAAAGCAGTGATAGTGAAGAGAAAGATAAACAGCTGGGACTACATCAAATTAAAGAGCTTCTGCACAGCAAAAGAGACAATAACAAAAACAAAGAGAAACCCCACCAACTGGGAGAACATTTTTGCACCCAACACTAATGATAAAGGACTGATCACAAAAATCTGCAAAGAGCTGATGAGACTCAGCAACAACAAAGAAAATAATCCAGTCAAAAAATGGGCAGAAGAGCTAAAAAGAAACTTCTCTGAAGAGGAAATGCAAATGGCCAACAGACATATGAAAAAATGTTCAACATCACTTGTAATCAGGGAAATGCAAATCAAAACTACCATGAGATACCATCTCACACCAGTGAGAATGGCACATATTAAAAAAACTAGCAACAACAAATGTTGGCGAGGATGTGGAGAAAAAGGAACTCTTGTGCACTGTTGGTGGGAGTGCAAACTGGTCCAACCACTATGGAGAGCTGTGTGGAGATTTCTGGACCTACTAAACATAGAGCTTCCATATGATCCAGCAATTCCACTCCTAGGTATTTACCCAAAGGACACAGAAACATCAATTCCAAAGAGCACCTGCACTCCTATGTTTATAGCAGCACTGTTTACAATAGCTAAGCTTTGGAAACAACCCAAATGCCCAAAAATAGATGACTGGATCAAGAAGATGTGGTACATATATACCATGGAATATTACTCAGCATTCAAAAAAGATAAACACATGCAATTTGCAGCAACATGGATGGCACTGGAAGGGATCATGCTCAGCGAAATAAGCCAAAAAGAAAAAGAAAAATACCGGATGGTCTCACTCATAGCAGGAATCTAGAAAACTTAAATAAGGGACCAGGAAAATGAATATAAGAAAGTGAAAATCAAAATCAACAAAAAACTATGAACCAGAGACACTTTTTGGGGGTGGGGGGCGGGAGGGGAAGGATTGGGGTCAGAATGGGGCGTTTGCAATTGTATGGGGGAATATAAAAATAAAATTTAATATTAAAAAAAAAAAAAAAAAAAAGATATGGTATATATACACAAAGGAATATTATTCAGCAGTCAAAAAAGATAAACTCATGCCATTCGCAGCAATGTAGATGGAGTTAGAAGGAATTATGCTCAGTGAAATAAGCCAGAAGGAAAAAAAAAATATTGGATGGTTTCATTTATAGCAGGAATATAGGGGAACCAAATAAGACATCAGTGTAAAAAAATAATAACAGTACAAAACACAACAAAGCATAAAACAGACAATTATAAATCAGACACATCCTGCAGGGGAGGAGGAGGGAGAGGGATCAAAGAGAGGGAGGGAGGGGCACAGGGGACTGAGGTGATGTTGCACGGGTGCATTGGTGAAGGAAACTCTATGGGACTACACCTGAGGGGGTGGGGGGGGAGCAAATAATGTTTAAAAATGAACAATAATGTAAAAAAATTTTTTTTAAAAAAAGAAACTACCAAACTGTTTTCCAGGTGGTTGTACCATTTTGCATTCTTCTTAGAAGTATATGAGAATTCTAGTTGTTCTACCTCCTTGGCAGCACTTGGCTATTAGCAGGCTTTCATTTTTTGAAATTTTGTTTTGTTTTTAGCTATTTTAATGAGTATGTTGTAGTAGCTCATTGTGGTCTTAATTTGCAAATACAATAGTGCTATCTCAATTCCCTAGTGACTAATGATGTTGAACATCTTGTGCTTATTTGCCACCTATACAGCCTCTTTGGTAAGTTTCTTCTTTTACCCATTTTTAATTTCATTGAATTTTAAGACTTAAAAAATAAATTCTAATTATATGACATAATGTGGTATGCAAGTATTTTATCCCTGCCTTTAGCTTTCCAAATAGTGTTTTGACAAAGCAAAATTTTTAAATTTCAATAAAGTCCAGTTTGCCATTTTTTTTCTTTCATGGACTGTGTTTTTGCTGCCCTATCTAAAACTCTCTATTTCAAGTTATGAATATTTTCTCCATTGTTTCCTTCTGAAAGTTTTAAAGATCTATGGTTAATATTTAGATCAATGATCTAATTTTATAGGCTATGAGGTTTAAGTCAAAGTTTAATTTTATTTTTGCATATAAGTAAATTGTTTTGACAACATTTATTAAAAAGCCTATTTTGTTTTCATTGACATCTTTGTACCTGTATAAACATTAGTTGGTCATGATTGCGAGGTCTATTTATGGACTTCTATTCCACTGAAATATCTATCCCTTCACTAGTATCACAGTCTTGATTACTATATCTTCATAGTAATTACTAAGAAATTATGAATCATCCAACTTTATGCTGGGATAATTTTCTATCTGCTGTTGTCCTGTGCTACAGTATAAGGAAAAAAGTAAAGAGGAAAGCTTTTTGAGTCCTATCTATTTGATGGGCAGTGAACCATGGGAATTTACAGTATTTAAAAATTTTTAAAGCAATGCATTCCAGGTGGGTATTATTTGCCCATTTATGAAGATGAGAGAACTGAACCTCAACGAATTTTAATACTATGCCCAAGGTTATATAGTTAATATGAGACAGAGTCATGATTTAACTCCAAGTTAGACCTACCTTCAAGTACACACTCTTTCTAATACACAATAGTTCATGTCAACTTTTCTGGATTCTGGAGGCATGGAATTTCCCTTAGAACACCTTGGCTGCTCTGATGGATGATTTCTGAAAGTCATTTACACTAAGTAAAAATATCTCTGAGGCTTCCCAAAAGCTCTTTTGTTAGCATGGTTGAGATGCAAACTTATACAGTCAGAATAGAAGGTTTAGTTTGGACTCCTGAAAAACAGTGTTGAGTTAATCATCTAGCAGTAGATTGTCACAATGGCTACAGGAAGATAAATAATCAAGGATTATAAGTCTTTAATTTAATATAACTTATTCTCATTAATTAAATACCAATTACCTGCATGTCTTTCCTGGGAACTGGCCTTTGCAATCAATCTTTTCAGAAATGTTGTACACACACGCTCACAAAGGTATTAATATCATTCTTAAGATTTACAGGCACTGGACTCTTTGGCTTAAACCATCTTCAAACACTCTACACTGTAACAGCAGATAATCGTCATAAATTTCCTGATCTTTGACCTAAGCGGTTCTTAAATTTCCATTCCCTAAGGGCTCGAGGAGTTCGTATTTATCATACTGAGCCGCTTACTTCTAAGGATCAACGTGTTCCAGCAAGACTCTGAATTTCAGATCTCTGACCCAGCCTCCTACTTGGAGATTTTGCTAGTCACAACAGATGAGAATCCTTAGGGACTAAGAAAGTATTCTGTCCTATGACTTCCCTGTGTAAGATCATTCATTCGTGGACAGTGTAACCTTACAAAGTACCTGGAGCAAATTTGACCCTCAGAAATCTTTTGAATATCCCAGTTGCTCTGACTTAAGTATTCAGTGGCGCATACATCTACTGCTGAAAATACTCCCATTTCAGCCTTTAGCAGCTGGCTATGTTTATCTGCAATTTTTATTAAATTTCTTATCCTCAAGACAGCTTATTCCTTATGCTTGTACCTAACTATACATTTTATGGTTGCTATAAATTTAAGTTTTGAAAGTGGCTGGTGGTTTGCTTAAAAGAGCTGGTGTGAATATGTGCCTTCTGATTCCATATTTCAGTTCAACAGAACAAGGCAGAGGAGGAAACCAAATTTAAGGAAGGATTTACATACAAGCTCAGAGTCACAGCTTCCTACATCTGATCAGCTTCCACTCTTTGTTAACATTTTGAGTGACCATAATAGTATTACCTCCTCAATCATTAGTAGAGTGTTCTTTTTTATTTAAAAAATTTAAATGCATGCACATGTGAAGTAGAATTTAAAGAGTGTAAAAAACTGAAAGGGAACATGCATACAGCCATTGACATGTACAAAAGGTCTAGTTAATTGATTTGATAATGGTAGGACACAGGTGCCATGTTAAACTCTGCTTCCATTTTCTCGCTGGCTGCTCTCAAAAATCCTGACATCAAATTCTCAGTTCCAAAGAAAATACTAAATATTTGTGCTATTCATCACATTATCATCTCATGTTCATCCTTTCAACTCTGTGACTTAGTCATATGGTTAAAAATGGCCCTATTATGGGTATTTAACGTGGGCAGGGACAAACATACTGTAAAAGATGCCTCATGGCTTAGCCCTATCAAGTCATTTCTTGAGTTTGACCAATTCACTCCTCCAATTTGTAAAACACAAGAGAAACAGGACTGGGAATTTCTTAACTCAGTATTCTTATTAGTAAACTAAACACTACTAATTTCAATTAGTACTCATCCAGGACTATGAATTATTGCAGTTTTTCCCCTTCAGTAGCAGAGACAGAGTTCTCTAAATTCACTTGTATTCTTTCAGCCAATATCTATGGTCATGCTCATGAGTTACTAGTAAGATGACAGAACTGAAATTGTTTGGGGCCTAGAAAATGAGTAATATTTGTAAGGCTCAAACCCCAAATTTGTTCAGATTAACACACTGCAAATACCTAAACTCAGTCTATTCCACTCATTACCAAAAGAGTGTAACTCTAGATTTTACACGATACTGTTGGATAGATCTGTGGATACTGTTGGATAGATCAGGTGTAAGTATATGATCTTGGGTACCAATTCATTGACTAGGAAGAAGATGACCAGCTGTATTAGAAAGAAAAGTTCATGAACATATTCAACTGAGGGGCCTGGAGATTCTTGGTTTGTTTCCTACCTGTTTTGTTTGTTTCTTACTATTGACTACACCCACATTCTATAACAAATCTCTTTTTTCTTGAGTGAAATGGAGTGCATTTTGGTTCTTTGAAATTTATGACCAGTCAGCCAAAAGAGAGTTTTAAGCTTTCTTTAATATCTTAGAAGGCCAAATGGGTAAAGGTTCATCAGTTAAAGCATTTATGATGGTGTTTTCAGATTTGAATGAGTTAACTCACCCACAAATTACTAAAGGGCTGACTTCCTTTTCTTCTGTTGGGCCCAGATTAATTTTGGTAGGTTATAAATGGTGTTTTTATTCACAAGGCATGGGACATATGTGATAAATGTGAAGACTATCATACGTCTTATAAAGAGCTAATTGTTTGTGAAAGATGTTCTCCCAGTGACACATACAAGTCTGATGTTCTCTGGCTGCTGGCTTTTCTATAACAATTTCATTAAATGATCAACCCTTATACCAGAACATAATGTGACAAAGCAGAGATTGTCTTCCTTGACCTTGGCAGGATCTGGAAACATTAAAAAGAGATCAAATACTTTTTTTTTAATAAACAACTTTATGAAGACCTAATCACCCTGCATACTAAATTCAAGCACAGGACTTAAAGGCCTACCATTTTCTCATTAACACTGTTGTTAATTTTTCATGCTGTATCCAATTTTCTCCATGTCTCAGACTAACCACTTACTCTAATTTATTAGCTTAAGAATTGCCAAATTACAAAGGTAAGAAAAAATTATGTTTTGCCTTTCCCCCAGAATTAGATTCTCATTCCAAGGAACCAGAATTCTTCACTCAAGGAATCATTTCTTCCCATCCCTTAAGTTGGTATTTTATCAAATCTCTAGCCTCTGGAATGTTGGCAGGAATTACTCAGAGTAGAATGTAATGTACTGTTTTGTGTCTTTGTAAAAGTCATTTGGTATTTATCTTCAGAATTATTTTATCATTTTTTCAAATAGCCTAACATACTTCCTCATGTATAAATGGACAATGTGTGGATATTAGAAAGGCTTCATTTGCAGTGAAAACCTCAACAGAATCTCAAAAAAAAAAATATGTTTGAACACTAGCTAAAGATTATAAATTATGGACATCAATTTATGACAAGAATTTCTAACCTTTAAGATACTGCTTTTAAACAGGACTTAACTTTACTGAAAAAGAAATGCATACATTAAATAGACATCTATCTTTATCTATACATATGTATGTATGTATATGTATGATATATGTAGATTTGTCACCCAGATATGATAGATCTATACCAGCTAGACAAAGAGAGTTCTGAAACTCAACACAGTATTGGAGAAATATTTAACATCTTAGAGTTTGTAGCTAATTCTTTAACAGTAATTAAAGAGACATACTTGTGGAGAGAAACATTTAAAATTAATTACTTAGAAGAAAAGAGACACACCTTAAAATTGTAGGAAACTTTCATAATTGCCCAAAAGCTTTGAAGTGGTCCAGGCTCTGAGCTGGGAAATATATTTCATTCTTCATTTTTGGGGGGTCCTTTTCAACATCACTTTGCAGATGTCAATGCTAGTATAAGTCAAAGAAGTTCTAAACCCTTGAAGAACAGAGAGCACATTATTAGTCTGTTATAAGGTGTGTTATCTGAACAAGGAAAGTTTGAAAGCCCAAAACTTTACTTACATCGATTTAACATTAGCCAGATGTGTCTTACATAGACATACGCTCCTCTCTATGTGAATAACAGATCTGTTACTTTTTATTCTTTTCTTTTTCCAATATAACATATTTATCATCAAATGTTTTTCAATGAATTTATGGATAACTTTTCCTGTTTACATATAAATCATGGCCAAAACTAAGTTATATAAATATAAGTCACCATCTGCAAAAACCAATAGAGAAGCCTGAAAGTGAGTTTTACAGGACAGCCTGTGAAGACAAGGGGGTAGAACCACTGATTTTCATACAAGTCATTTGCAGCAAACTGGGTTCACTGACCCTGGTGTTTGACTACTTGGTTAAGGCTAGTAGTTAAAGCTTTGGCTGGAGCCTTTCTTTGGTCTAACTCTGGACTGAATGTTCTGCTGCTAAGCAGAGTGTCTGTCACAGGGTAGTCTGCATGATAAATACTGATTACCTGTTGCCTGGCTATCAAGGAACAGATTTGCATACCTGACCGCAAATCTAACATCTCCCAGGTGCATGCTTGCTGGCATTAGAAACGCTGGGAAAGATACCTGTTGGGTGTGCTATCCCAAGTCCAAACTTAATTCTTACATTTAGAACTAAGACGGAATCTCTTTTCCTCTAGGTAAGTAGCAGAAACATCTTCTGGCAAATTTAAAGAACTGTATATAGATCAAACTAAAGAATGGCAATTATAATTTTACAAAACTTTTAGATGAAAAGAAACTGCGTAAGAGAAAAAAAATGGCCAACATACATCTCCCTTCAGGATATTTCTAGGTCAGCAATAATCATTTGAGGGGTTACGAAAGGAGAATGCCTCTACTGAATTGCTTTTAACATTGGTCCAAAGTGGTGGTGATGAAGGGGTTCTTTAAATAGATTTGAGAATGCTGAGCTTTAAAAACAGTAGGTGATGTCCTTAACATCCGAGCCAAGCTATTCACTGCAAATCCTACCAACAACCACAGCACTACTGGCATGGATATAAATATTCATATCAATAAATGGGATACTGCTGAATCCGCAAATATAGCTGGAATGGCCCTCATATTGTCACTTCACTGGAGATACATAATTTATTTCTTGAGAAGTCCTCTTTAAGAATCACATATTCGCAAAACAGTCTTCCATGTGCCACTATGTTGTGCTGAAAAAACCCATCACAGATAGATTGTGATAGGGCTACAATTTTCCCGGTTTCCTACAAAAGTCAACAGATTGCATATGAATGAAATACCAGAGTGCCCTTTGTTCAAGGGTGTCTTGTCATCAGAGAAGATATGTCTATCATTTCACATTTAGAGAGAGAAAGCGATCAAAAGACAAATATAAGTCACAACTATCTCTTGCTTTCCTTCCTATTCTCATTCCCCCTCACCTTTTTACTAAGTACATTTCAATCCACAGTCTTTGAGCTCAAATACATTTTACATGTGTTACTGTATGCTCTACCATACACCCTATTCTTTGGGATGGTAATTTATTAAATAAAAATGCAAGAGAAATATACCAATCTACCATTGTTTCTGAATCTTCTCAGAACATAGAAAGTCCATTCGTAAGATGTGAGGCCACATTATGTTCCACTGAAACAGAGGTCTTTTGACTAGCTTCCGATTTTTATTTTTATTTATTTTATGAGAGTTTTATTTTATTTTTATTTAATTTAATTTTTTTTTTTTTTTGTGGGACCCTCGCCGGCGGCCGGGAACGAACCAGCGCTGCAGAGGCTGCGGGCAGCCTCGCAGCCCAGTGCTCAACCGCTGCGCCACCAGGGGAGGCCCAGCTTCCGATTTTTAATTTTGGTTCTCTAGCCCTTTAGAAAACGATGTAAGGCAAGTTCTTATACTTCAGTACACTTTGTTTCAATTCCATTAATACTGAGAATATAGTCAGCCAAGGAAAATGGTTAATTTATTATATACTGGACATAGTAATGTTGAAGTAGACCCCCCAAAGCATACATACACACTGACCAGAGATACTGTAGTAGAAACAAAGTGTGATGAGTATCATCAAATTGATTTTTACAAATTTGCTCAGAGAAAACTTGAGTCATATTTTTTAACTTTTTGAAATAAAAACTAAGAAGGTAAGCACATTATTTCAAATTTTGTCACGGTTTATTTATGCTGCTGAAAGAGTACTGCTTAACTTTCCAGGATTGCTGCACTATTTGATGCATCCAATCTTTTCTTTTCCTATCACCATTAGCTAGTAAGACAAACACTGAATGGACTGGTCCTTCCTGATGTTTGAGTCAGTACCAGACCTTACTTAGAGAACGTGTAGTCTGCCTTTTCTCAAGGAAGTTTCTTCAGATATTTATCTTGGTGCTCTGATTTATCTTTGATTATGATCTATTGATCTATGCAAAACTCTGAGGCGGTGGGGGGTTGGATATGTCCAGCAAGGTGAGATGATGTGCAAGGAAGTGTAAGAAAGAGGAAGGGAAATGCTCTCATGCAGATAATGCCTGTTCTGTTCTTGGTGACTGAGAATTCAAAAAGGTTCGTGTTGGAATCTCAGTGCTTACTCAAATGCCCATTCACAGCTGCAAAGGCCAAAGTCTTGCATTCCATGCATCATAATCAATCCTAATGGCCACTCCCATAGGAACACCACTCTCACATCCCAGACTTACAGACTGCAAGGGACATGTGGAACAGTTCCATGGGAAACACTGGTCAGGAGAGTATCCGTGCAGCCTAGACCAAAGTGACCCTTTGGTACAAGTTCAGAGCAGCATAAAGGAACACGTGGTCACAGCAACATTTCTCCAGAGAGCTATTTCAGATTCCACATAAGAGTAACTGGTGGCTTTGGATAAATCAACCCTCTCATTTATGTGCTGAATGGGAGAAAACAAGTCAACAACTGATGCATGCAAAAGCATTTGGAGGTGATGGATGGAGACATTATGGTGCATTTCGTCAATGGTATGCCATTAGAGAAAACTATTTCATAGAGCAAATTAAGAAAACACACCAGCTACGTGATATACTTGGAATTGCCACTGGCCAGATGGTTTTTTCTCCTCTAGGAATGAAGCTGCATGGGATTGACATTATCATTATCAAGCAGACTCCCTTTCCTGGGTTAGCAGCCTGTGCTAGTCTTAGACCCCCCACCTCGCATTACCCCATAATGATGACCACTGATATACTGGAGATAACAAAATCATGGACTCTATTTTTTTTGCTATCTTAAACTATTATTTAAATCTCTTATTGCTCTGTAACTTCATGTGTTAATGTCTTGTTTTCTCCTCCATGTTATAAGGCCCTTCCCTTCATGCCAATAATCTTACAAGTAACTGATATTTACTAGCACAGCACTGGGCTTAGTGTTCAGTAAATATATGTTGATTTCACCGGTGATTAATTTCTCCCATCTTTCTACCTGGCTATTGTCTGCTAAACACTGATTGATTCATAAGAAAGCATTTCTTTGGACCTTGACATTGGGACTGCAGAGATGGACGATTTGGCAGGTGACCTCCATGAGCTCACAGACAGACAAGCAATTAGAACGCGGTGCAGGGAAAGGTACATATGGGAGGTTATGACAGCACTGGAGGGGGATGTTCTGGGTAAGAGTGGGATTCAGGGATGGATTCTAGGAAGATATTACCCTTAAGGATTCAGCAGTTGTTAACCCGAGCCTTTTGCAAGGGCATGTTGGTGAGACCAAGCATGGAGCATTGGCTTCCAAGTATTGCTGTTTCAGGAGCTTCTACTGAAAACTATTTGCAAGGTCACCCACGAAGGGCAGGACAGAAATGGGCTATGAATCTCAGGCCCTTTCCCTTGGTAAGTGGGCTCTGAGCGCATTCAGATGCACCTCATGGTAACTGTGGCTTCGTAAAAAATCAAAGATTGATGGGAGCAGGCTCTCTGCGTGCGTGTGTTTAGTCTGCTCGAGCTTTTAGTACTGTTGTGGCCATGCTTCCTAATGGAAATGCATTTCTCACTCTCACCATCACCCAGATATAGAAGCTCTCGGCTATGAAAGGCCTTTTACCTCAAGATTTTTGTCTTGTAAGCCATCCTAATTCAGGAAGAAAACAGAGTCCAAAAGAACCCACCACAGATGTTTGGTCAGAGAGTTCAAAGAGAGAGACAGGCATTTAAGAGCTCAAATGATGTAAGGTGTGGGTTTGAGCCCAGTTGGAAGAATTTGCTTTCTCTTGTGAAGGACACTGACTGATATAGAGAAATAAGCTAAATATTTTATTTTGCCCTTATTTTCACTTTAAGAAATCATGACTGACAGAACAATGAGGGCTTCCATTTATTGTAATATCTCTCAGCCTCTGTTACTATCATATTGACTCTGACAAATCGTGAAGCAGCATTATCCCCATTTTCCAGGTATGGCATCTGAAGTAACAGAAGTAAAACTAGCACAGCCAAGACCACCCAGATGGGCAATGGTGTAGCTGGGATTTGAAAACAAGCACATCTGATTCCAAAGTTGGGGGCTCTTATCAATGGTCAATATCTCCCAGAATGGAATGTACATGTACATGAGCACACATGACAAAGAGCTGTCAGAGCTCCAAAGCAGGCAAAGTAGAAACCATGCGCCCATTTCTGTCCTACGAGGGAAAGTGGATGCTCATCAGAGTTGCAGGTGAGCTGGTTGACTCTATAGCAAACCCCGAGGGAAACACTTAGAGTCCACATTGGGAGGTTTCTTTTTAATAGTCTAGTCTAACAATAACACACCACAGAGAGGTGGCTTGCTACAAAAATCACATCATGCCCAGTGAAATCAACCTCCTCGCCTTTAATTATTCCTGAAGATCAAAGTGAAAAAAACACCTCAGGCTCAACATCCGGAGCCCAAATGCCAAAGTGGGGCTATCTCTTCGATTGTGTGGCAATGGTGGTGACATTGACCCTCCTTGGGCCTGTCATGAGCTGCAGAGGGGACTTTATATGGGCACCAGGGGAGAAAGGGGGGCTTCTCAGAGAGGCTTTTGAATCAAGGGTGGTTTTTTTCTTGCATGGAAAAGCAGGATCAGAGAAGAAAGGTAGATGGATGAAAATCCACATTAGAGAGCTGGTGTACACACAGCAATTCTGCTACTTTATCATGAATGAGGAGAAAAAATATTTTGCACTTGAGAAGCTGACATGAAGAAGTGGGCCTGGAGCCTTCTGTGAAACCAGCCATTAAGATAATCTAGTCCTGGAACCTTCCCCACATCCAACTGCCTCCTGCATGAGCCCAGCAGTGTTTCCAAATGCCTCAGTTCATGGCCAAATTCTTCAAACAAAGAAGACCTTAATTCACTTTAGTTAAATAAACAAAAAATACCTTAAGACTCTTAGGAAAGTGGGTAGAGGGCATGAGGGAAATCCAAATAATATATGGACGTCAATTCCTCCCAAGCAACGCATCCTTGCTGATGCGGGTGGGGGCGGGGCATTATTCTGGGCACAGCAAGTGTTTTATCTGCAACCGACAAATCTCAAATCCTCCCAGCTTCTGTTTCTCCCTTCTTAAAATCTCGGTCACAGTATTTATTTACGTACGCAATGGAGATGAAGGCAGGCTTAATGCTGGCCACCTGTCAGAGTAACAGTGACCTGTCTCTTAAGGGGATTTCAGCAACTTCCCCCACTCCATCTTTATAACGCACATGGGAATTGGGAGAAAATGTCCAGGAGAAAATACACTAATTGAGCTAGGAGGTGGTGAGATGCAATGGAAAGACGCCAAGGGGAGAGATGTTGAGAGAACCTTGGGTGGCATTTAAAGCAATTTGAAAGTGTACAGGCCACTTCCTATTCTGAGATTAAAAGGAATTTTGCACAACTATGTTACCCAAATGGAAAAGCCAAGCTCCCTTTTGTGTCTCTGGCACATGCCCTTGGGGCTCTTCATGTTCTTATAAGGAGAGCTTCCTTAGTTTCCAAAGAAGGCAGATGAAGTCGCTTTCTTGGAAATAACATCTCTGCTCTGGAGAGTGAAGAGTCAATAGACAGGTTTGTCACCTGGACAATTCCAAAGCAATCTGGTTGACTATAGTTAACAAATACCTGTGCACTACTTACTAGATGCCAGGCAGTGCTCTCCAAATATTAACTTATATATAGCAACTTACAACTTCATCAACATCATCACCCACCCAGCCAAAGGCTTCGGTGCTAGTCTGAGATGCAACAAAATTGCTGACTCAGGCAGACTCTGTCCCATGAGGCTGTGCCACACCTCAAGGAGCAAAGAGTGGTCCAAGAAGGTGTTGTCATAGAGTCACATTTCAGGAGATTCCAGCACTCTTATATGAGAGACAGAAAATTACCCCAGGACCACGTGAGTTTTTTATCAGTTTTGTGGAGTTCCATCAACCTTTCTGATCCAGAGGCAGGGAGATGAGGACACAGATTATGGGGTCAGACAGACTTGGTTTTGCCCTCCTTTATTCTGGTGAAAGTGATTTCACTTTAGGAAACTTTGTTTCCTATCTACAAAGTGGGGCTTCTGTGATTTCTCCCAGGGTTTTATGAGGATTAGAAACAAAACACAAGAACTGCTCAGCAGAATACTGGTGATAGAAGGATAGAAAGTGCCTCATGTTTCCTTATTGTAAGGTCCAGTGGAGAAAGTTTCAAGCCTATGAACATTCATGCTTCCCGCCCTCCCCCCAACCCCGCCCCCATCTCCATGACCCCCCACCCCAAGTAGTTCATCACCTGGAAAGGCGAACTTGTGGGACTGGCTGAAGGAAGCTCTGCCCATGAGCCAGTCTGCCCTGCAGATTTAGCAGACTGGATTGTTTTCTGCTCCTGCACAATGGAAAGCAATTTTAGTAAGTGCTTAGCTTAATTAGTTTGTGTCCAGACGTGCTCTCAAGGGTTGTGCACACTTGTCATCATGATCACCACCTGTCTCGAAAGCCAACTTTCCCAGCAGTCTCCGCCTTGCTCCATGTACAGAAACCACATGAAGTTTCCATTCAGTCCACCTTTCACTCCAGCTCTGCAGAAAGGGGCCTGAAGTCAACACCCTCTTCTATGAATGAGTTCAGGCTTCTCACAGTACCTCTTTTGCCCATTTTAGCTACTGTAGTCATGGACCAGCTCTGGCTGGGCAGCTGCAGCACCTGATCGTCCACCACAAAGTCTGGATGGCATTTGAGACACTGACTAAACATTAACAACTACAAAGGATTATTTCATCTGGATTAGAAGCTGGAATTCTGGCCTAGAATGTTCTGTTTACTCTGTTCGTATTGAAATCAAAAATTCCTTTCAGGGATTACACCAATGGGTGGGAAGGAAGAAAAAGATAGATCAGAAGACAACCCAACAGGCACTGGAATGTGGATTCTGGGAGACACTGCAGATTTAAGATCACACTACTTTACTTCAATGGTTCTTCCAGAGAACGTTACAAAAAACATAGTTTCCCCCTCCTTACCACCTGCTGTTTCTTGGCTGCCACAGCAGGCATTTTTTAGTGGCCAGCATCATTAAAAAAACAGTGGGGGGGCCTCCCGGGTGGCTCAAGGAGTTGAGATGCAACCTATGAGGCTATCCGCAGCCACTGCGGCATGAGTGCGATCCCTGGCCAGGGAGCTACCCACATGGCGCAGCAGACCTCTCCTGACTTGCTTGCTGCTCCCCTCAGCAGTGTATTTCAGTCAGTCTGCCTGTTTTGTTCCCCACTCTGTCTCTGGTGAATGCTCTCAGCCTGCCCCCCTCCGCCTCGCGCCTCTGGCCTGTACCCCAGTTCTTGTGTGCATAAATAGATATCTTTAAAAAAAAACAGTGGGGAGGGGGAGATGATAACTGTTCTTGTGGACAAATAACAACGTGAAGTAGTTACTCTAGGATTCACTGGTTCCCCCTCTCTCAAACACACATGCCCTCAGTAGCATCTCCAACCTCCACCTCGAGGTCACGCTGTTCTGTAGAAATTACAATGGGAAAAGACAAAATCTTCACCTTTTGAAACCTACAGGAAGATAGATGAGGGCACAGTGGAAGGAAAGAGTAACACTGAGTGCCTGATCGATCTACCTGTCAGCCCAGGAGTGGTGGGTAATAAAAATTTATTGAAAATTAGAAAAAAAAAGCCACTTATTTTAATTCTTCTGAAAGGGAATACAGATGTTGCAGATGAATCCCTACCCCTTTTCCCCAGGATTAAAGCACCATCCTCCCACCCACCAGCCAACCTTCCAACAGCACAGATTTAAAAATCTTGCAATTTTATTTGCATATAAAGGCCGCTAGATATAGAATATCACAATAAATTTAAAGAAACAACTGCTTTCCTAAATTTCATTAACAAGATAACATAAAATAGAATAAAGCTCAACAGCATTTACAATGGGAAAACAGAAATGACTATTAGCGACAATATTTTGTGCTAGCGAAGATTGCATCGACACACAGTGCAAAATGAGGGGAGGGAGAGGAAGTAAGAAGACAATTCGGGGTATTTAAATATAAAGGACAACTAAGCCTTATTTTAGTTAGCTTCCATTGCATCCATTTAAGTCTATACACGTCTGTAACTGTACCTAGATTGAACTCAAGCTCTTTGAGACCGTGAGTTCTCAGAAAATGTGTCAGCTCCTTCGGACTTCAGATGCCCTGATATATAAAGCATCCTTCTGTAGTTTACTGTCCTTGGCAACACCCAACTCTGAACTGTCAAAGTACACAGAAAATATTCATATATATAAATCCATATTGAAAAGGAGTCTGCACTTTTAGTTTTAACTGCATGAAATACCTGCTCTTAACAGATTCCATATTTTTAAAGCTAAAATAAGTTAAAAGAAACAAACATACAAGGAGAGACCTCATCTAACCACACTATGGATCTCACTAGCTAAGCCATCCTTCAAAACGATGCCGTTTTCTTCCCTTGACACTGCTTTCTTTATAGTGAGAGTGTGAAGAGAAGTCTTTTCCACGCCTACTTGCGCTGAGAAGATTGCTATAAATCCGGGCCATGTCTGCGAAACAGAAGCATTATCGGGAAAACAACAACAACAACAAAACATCAAAAAATAAAATACTTCAAACAATACTCAACAGTTGTGCAAATCTGGGTGGTTTTTTAAAACACTGCCTACCTGTTTCTTTTCCTCTTTTTCTTCCAGCTTAAAGCATATCAAAATAAGATTTTTATCACCTTTTAAAAAGAAAGCTTGGCTGTCCTTTGGCGAACGCTAACAATTTACAATGGCGTGGCCTTTAAGAAAACAGAAGTCATTTTACAAATTCACAAGGCTCCTTTGATTTCAAATGGATGCTCCATTTAAAAAAAAAAAAATAAAGAAGCACAACCTCTAGCATCATTTGTGTTCCAGCAATTTACAAAAAGAACTCACAGGATTTGGAAATCAACAAGTAAGAGAATGTAAGTTTATAATTAGAAAAATGGCAGTTTATAGACCTTCCCTCACATTCCAATTGAGTGTTCAGAGCTTTAGGAACCCTGTGGGTTTGGAAGGTCAAATATAATTGGAGGGTTGGTCGGTTGAAAGCTGACTGTACACGTTGAGGCGTTGATGTACGTTGTGTAACCGTCGGTCATAATGCCATAACCTGCAGGGAGAGAAGGTCACGCTTACTGTGATATATACAAATGATATGACTTGAGGCAGGGCTGTCAGGCAAGGAAAACAAGAAAAACTCTTTGCCAGGGGACAGTGAGATGAAATCCAGTTGAGCTAATCCAGATATAGCAGCTTTCAGAAGCTGCCTTCCAATTTTATTCTATTTTCTTGAAAGGGAGAATTCTTGACTTCAAAGAAAAATAATTCTTTTTTTCCCTATTTAAATACTGGATTTGTCAGGAGAGGCTGTGATTTCTTTATTAGTGAGAATAAAGAAAAATTTTGCCTCTTCTTAAAATATGATTTTCATTTCAAAGCCCTGTATTAACTATTGAGGGCAAGGGAATGAAACGAGTGACATAAGGAACTGCTTAGGGGCACAGAAATGCAAACCCCACAGGGCTTCAGGACAGATGAAGAGAGAAGAATGTTGCATATGGAGATGGGGGGTGTGGTCGCTTCGCTTAGCTTCTTGATCAATGAAATCATTTTTAAACTGCCCTAATGAAAATGAATATCAAGTGATCTGAGCTTGCTTGAATTGTGTGGTTTTGATGCTGAGTTCCATTTCATTCAAAAGAGTCAATACTCCATTGTATACTTGACATTTGCTTACAGGGTAGATTTTAAGTGTTCTCATCCCCCAAAATGATAACTATATCAGTGATGAATATGTTCATTAGCTCAACTATGCTGATTATTTCACAATGTATACAGATGTCAAAATATCAAGTTGTACACCTTAAATATGTATTGTTTTGTCAATCATGCCTCAGTAAAGCTGAAATCAAACTGTTTCACTTTAAAAAAAAATCAAGAGTCAAATAATCAAATGTCCAAGTAATTTGCAGAAATCACAGCACCCTGCTTCCTAAGCTTACCTGGACACAGGCTCAAATAAAAACACTCCCCTTATACAATATAAATCACTTGTAACCTGTTAGAAGAAGCCAAGAAAGGTTCTCAGGGCCTCTGGTATGCCTGTTTCTTTTATAATTTTTAATATGTTGTAATTTGTAGCATGTATATAAATTTACACATTTTCCTAAATAGGTTAGTCTTACAGCCTCTGCAATTAAGTTTGTAATTCTATGATGAGACCAAGCTCTTAGGGCATTAAAAAAGATGCCCATGAGAAAATAAAATTACCATTACTTATAGAAATAACTGAGAAGGTTTTTCTCCTCTTTTGTTAAAATTTCTCCAAGTAAGTCCGTGGAGCACTTAATGAGGGTCAGTGGAAAAATCTCTTAAGAAAAGAAAAGAGGCATTTAAAATGTGCACTGTTTAGTTCTGGGGTCATAAAGTCTTGTTATCTCTCTCATCAAGAGGTTGGTATGTGCCCTTTCTCTGCCCTCTTCAGCTGTCTTAAGCGAATAAAAAACAGACAAGTTTATTTGAATATGATCTCCTACCTTTTAAGCAAGTTTATTATTTTGGGACTTCAGTGGAATTCTCCAATTGTCAAGCTAGTTTGAAGCTAATTAATGGTTTTTTAAATGAAATGCAAGCTCACAGGCAGGCCATAGGAATTCAGATCTTCTATCTGCCCCCCAGAAATGTTAGATATGATCTCCCATCACTCTCCCCTTCAGTACAGATCAGGCCTTAAAGAAGTGCCCTCCTTGTCAAGGAATAAGCATACAGTTGGGACAGGATATAGGGCGCTGCACCTCTGCTTTCCATTCTGTCAGCTGGTGCCTGTATTTGGAGCAAACCAAATGTTCTCTGGCTTCAGCAGGATGCTTTCTCAGTATGCACTCTATGACATACATGCAGACCAGGAAGTCGCTAGATTTGTGGGCTTCGAAAAGCAAACTGTGTTCTTTCGTTCTTTGTCCAGGCACATAGGCCTGAACACTTCAGCTGCAGATTTGCCAGTAACTCAGGAGAATAGCTGCAATCAGGGGCTGGAGTGAATACGGCAGCCGGCAGTGGGAAAATGCACCCACTACATCAAGTGTACATAACCAGGAGAGTCTAGGAGGGATAGAAAAATCAAAGCACTGCTTGCTGAAAGAAGCCTTCATGTCTGTAAAGACTTGGACAACCCAGGTTTTAAAAAGGCAGGACAGACAAAACCTAGAGCCCTGAAGTTTCCAGGAGGCTTTCAGGTTCTGTGAACTTGACTTCAGTTTACCTTGAAAGGCAGAGAAGGGCAACTGGACCAATTCCCATTTAGAAAAGATTTAATTACTCTGTTAAACCTCAGCCTGATTTTACAGCACTGATGGCTTCTGAGAAGTCTGAAATGGTCTGCTGAGGTCAGTAAGGAAACATCTACCGGCAAACGGGCAGGTTCCTGCCATTTCTGTTATATATCTTTCATTGAGTGTTCAAAGTTGTATTTCCGAGAACATCTTGTCTTCCTGGGTGTGTGTATGCATTCCATCAGAAACACAATATTTACAGACAGGAAAGAGCCATAGAAACTATGTTGGTTAATATATAAGTCATTGTTTCTAACTTTGGAAGAGAAAATTTGTCTCTTTTTTTTTGGGGGGGGGGTGTTGCTCCATAGAGCGGTTATCAAGCATACCTCATCAGAGCCCTGGAATTCCAGAGGGTCCCTGAGGGATAGGGTGAGGGTGGGCTTTCCATCAGATGGGTCAGACCTGGGTCTTACTCTCTGCTTAAAAGAGCAGCTCCAGGGCCTCCCCGGTGGCACAGCGGTTGAGCGCTGGGTTGCGAGGCTGCCCGCAGCCTCTGCAGCGCCAGTTCATTCCCCAGCCGCCGGCGAGAGTCCCACCAAAAAAAAAAAAAAAAAAAAAAAAAACCCAAACAAACAAAAGAGCAGCTCCATGTAAAATATTTCTCCACTTTATATGCAGAGGTTTCTCCTAACAATCCATCTCATGAAAGGGTTCCACTGGCAAAAAGAATTTGAAAGCCACTGCTGCTATTATCGTAGTTATTTTTATAGCTAAAGTCTCCAGGGTGGAAGGAGATCACGGATAACACAACACACGAAGTCCTTTCTTCAGGTCTTACCTTCATGGATTCCACCAAACACATGGAGTTTGGGGCGTACTCGCCTCTGGACTGTGTTTAAAAGCTCCACACAACCCACTCTTTGAAGCTCCTTTGGAACCCAGTCTCGAAAACCTAAAGGCAAAATGCAATCAATACTCTTAATTTTCTTTCTTCAGGTAAGGGTTCATTTAGACTTTCAGGAAACCATAACTCACAGAAGGTTTATTACATTATCTGTAATCCTAGCGTCTCCATTAAAGCACACAATGGCTTTTAAGGAACTTTTCACTCATCGCTTTGTCTTCTTTAGGGTCTTGAAAAATTTTTTTGGTTTCTATTTTTTTTCTTCCTGTTAATTAATATATTTTTTTTTTTCTGTAAGGGATTTGATTTATTCAGCCACGGGTTTCAAATCTTCTTCACAGGCTCAGTGACACTTATTCCCGGCAGTCCCATAATAACTCCCTCTTGATTCAGTTACTTCCTCTCTTTAAAATTGTATTTAAAATAGTAGTTTACTTCCAAGATAGCTAAAAGAGAAGGACAGAGAGGGGCAGCTGGTAAGCTGGTCACAAGACCCCTGGCTCTCCTTAGATACATCAACTCTCTACCCTTGGTGGTTCAAGAGGACCAAAACTCGGACATTCCAGCTTCCTCCTACTCCCCCTGTGTCCTCTCTAGCAAAAGGCAACAATGGGACCTCACCGGGGCATCCAGCAAGCTTGGGCTAATTGACTACTTTTAAAGTAAAAGCCACTTAGTTCTAACACTTAATGCAGAAAATCCATAAAACTGACATCAATTAGAGCAAAAGTCAGCTATCAGCATGATTATGGTTGAAATGGAATCCATATGCCTTAGCGCGATGGATAGTAAGAAGGCATGTGGAACAAAGGGTTCCATCGTTATAGGTGGGAATCCATTCCATAGCATCATTAGGTTATTTAGAAATGATCAGGCAGAAGGAGCCAGCGAGCTTATTCCACTTTGTTTGGCAAAACTGTAAACACGAAGATTTAGCATCTCAGATAAGTCATGTTGGCCAGACTGTAGGGAGTGTCCAGAGAGTGGGAAGAACAGATGAAAGAGATAAAAGTGGGGACCCGGGCAAAAATCCAACCAGAACGAGAGGTCTCAAAACTCAATTAGCAATCCATAGTAACTAGCATAGTCCCTCAAGGACAAGTTCTTCTCAAAGGGGTGGGGGGAAATAACCTCATTTCAGATACAATCACCTGAAAAGCTTCTTGCTCATATCACAATAGTAAATAGTGGTTTCCACTCCCAGCAGGAGAGAATTCAAGGTCAAGCCCCACCATACTCTTCATTCCAATCAGCATTTTCACACGCTCCCAATAACTGTATTGATTAAGGTTCAAGTTTACCTTATGAAAACCTAGCCTGACTTTTGGAGATTCTTTATGTAGATATCACTGTTCCTTATGCACAGTCACTCTCTGAATTATTCCATCTTTACTATGAAGAGAGGAATGAACTTTACTATGAACTCCGCAAAGCTGAGGAATTCCTAGGATGTCTGAATTTCTTTGTAGGCTAGAATTCAGACTTATTACTGCCACTCATTTCTGTACCAAAATTAATGACTTGATGAAGTCTATGAATTAAATGTTCTGTTCAAACAATACTTCGATGTTTCTACACTGAGGATGTCCAGGTTTCAGAAAAAACATGCCTGCAGCTAACAGGATTCTCAAGGACCACATAGGCTGTGGTGCTATTTCTGCAGGGTCTCACCAAGTAACTCATGCTGATCAGAATATTTAACAAGCAATTTAATGATTTAATCTTTAGTGACAGCAAAACAGGGAAATTTATTATGGCATGAGATTGTTGATAGGCATAATCTCTTTAAAACAAGGTATGGGGGAGTGTGGGATTAGGGAAGAAAGCTTGGAGATGACGATTCTAAAGACCTGAAAGTGAGGGGCTGCTGGTCTTACGTAAATCTCTATAATTTCAGTGACTGCAATAGAACTGGCCCCCTTTTCTTGTTTCCCCCTTATTAAAATTTGTTACCATGGCTCCCTTCCTGGTGCTCTCTTTTGCTGTTTCTATGTGAAACACAGACTACTTCCCTGGAAAGGGAAGGAAAACAGTACCATGTGAATTGGAGGGGAACTATCTACAAAGTTCATTTAGGAGAGGCATGGTAGATTTTTAATTTTTTTTTCAGGCTGTCCAGGGAGGGAAAATGGCATGGACAACAACCCAAGCCACAGGGAAAAAATCATGAAAATCTTTTTTTTTTTTTATTGAGTTCAACCCTCTTCCCACCCCTCCCTGCCCACCCCACCCCCACCCCCACACATCAAGATAATCAAGAAAATTCTTCCAGCACTGTGAATTAAAAACCTCTTGAGGATAGATTTCATTTTACATGTTTTTCACCACACACACACAAAGATTGTGTGTGGAACTCTCCTACTAAGGGTGTATTTCCTTAAACACACCTTTGTTTAACAAGAAGGGTCCTGGCATAATATATATACCAAGCAGATTTGGTGGTGGTGGTGGGTCATAGTGGCAGCTTGGTTTGGAAAATGTTATAGGGCTCAGTGAAACAGTTAATGAACCCATGAACAATTAGAAGAGAATTATATAAGTTTAGTAATGAGCTTCTGAGCCTTCATCCTGCCAACGAAAGGGATTTTTCAAGCAATAATGGCTGTGTGCTTGGCTCTGTCACTTAGGTGACACTGGGCAATTATTTAGCTTCTGTGAGTTTTGATTTTCTACTCTTAAAAAATAAAATAAAGCATTATGACAATCTAAACCTGGATGTAAGTGCAATATATCTTTAGGATGAACATCTTTAAGTAAGCCTTCAACATAAGACCTTAACACTTTTGCTGAAAAAAAAAATTCTTCTCTCATATAATCTGTTCAAATGTTAAACTTTAAAGAGCTCCAAGGTTCCACTATTATATGGAAAAGGAAAATGATCTCCTTTGAAGGAAAGTTTCCATCATTTCATTGCCATTCAAAAGCCCTGTGATTGGAAGGACTGTATCTTCCTTGCTTCCCTCACCCCACCTCCCCTACTCCAAAGTGAATACAGTTCTTAAAATAAATTATCCAGCTCAAAAGACTGTGGTATTCCATACGCATTTGATTTTCCTTGACTTGACTAAATCAAAAAATTTAATTTCAAGAACACCTGTAAGTCCAGCAGAACTGCTGAGTTTAATTATCATACTGGGTATCTTTAAAGACACGGACTTTTCTTTTTGTATTCACTTTTCTTGGAGGGGAGGGGGAAGATTATGTTCCTGAAGCATTATTCATGATGCTTGAGGGAGAAAAGGCATCTGGCAGGACGAAAGGACAACCTTTGCTGCACTTACCCAGAGGAGGTCCGTGTGTCATGAGTATGTCGATGCCCTCAGGGATGAGGTTCCACTTGTCCAGCAGAGACTGACCTCTGGGTAGGTTAAAGCCCCATCCATTAAACCACGGGGTCCTTTGGGGGAGACAATGCACATGGTCTGAGGCCAGCGCAGTCACGTTTCCATTCTGCAATATTTCTCTCTCGCACATTCGCCCACGGTTTGCATTGCTCTCTTTTCTCTTTGTGCTGGTTGGCCCTGGCAGCAGGATGCTTTTTTGTTGACTGCTTCAAAACCCATCCACTTGAAAGCAAGTGTGGAGCCTATGACTTGTTCAACTAGAAAGGGGCACACGAACCTTTGCAGTGAGACTCTCCCAGCAGACCTCTATCAAAATCCTAACAATGCTTTGTCTTCTCCCAAATCTCAGTCCTCCCTAAGATGCCCCGCCCAGATCTAAAGCATTCCCATCCCCCTTGTCGTGCTTCAGAGCTAGAGAACTCCCTCATCACACCTTCCTCCCCATCACTGCGGGGCTGCTGTATGAGGAAGATCCTTGCTCCAGTCCCCGAGTAAAGGACAAGTGCTCTGAGGCAGAAGCCTCTGTCCGTGGAGATGTTTTAAATACACAGTCCTACAAAAAACTACGAACCAGAGACACTCTATGGGGGGTAGGGGGCAGGGAGGGAAGGGATTGGGGTCAAAATAAGGGGATTGCAATTGTATGGAGAATATAAAAATAAAATTTATTTAAAATAAATAAATACACAGGTCTGAGAAAGTTGAAGAAATGTGAGGGACTGGAAATTTGGGAAGGGAAAGAGAACAAGAAGTGAATGTGGAATTTTTCTCCTGTCACCAATGGGACAAGTGGGGGACATCCTGCTCGCCCTAGGACCCACTCTCCTGGCAGTGAACGTGAGCATCCCACCCTCACAGGCACTTCCGCTCCAGGAATGAGCATTCGCTTGCTGATGGACGTCCTGGTCAAGATCAGAGTGACAATCGATGCCAGATGGAGACATGAATGGGGCCTCTGTCCATCCAATGAGCATTTCCCATTTACAGTGGGAGAAGGTCAATGTTTCTCCAGAAACACTACAGATTACACCATATCAGAACAAAGCAGTTCCTGGTGTTGTCCTAGCCCCAAACATCTAGACAGAACCATTGTTTTTGGAAACTAACTCTTTTTTGTGAGGTGGGGGTGGGGAGAGCATGAACACAGTCCCCCACTACATCAAATTATGCAACTGAGTTTCCCACATTTGGGGAAATCACAGGGGTCAGCACACCTAGAGTGCAATGTATATACCTCACCCTGGGAAAACCTTTGTGATTAGAGTATCCCCTCTGCCAGGTGAGTGTAAAATAGACTCTCCTTTGCTCTGTAGAAAAATTACAGTTTGTAGGCACATGTAAAAGACAAGTTGGTCAACTCTTCAGTTAATCCCAATGTCCCTCTTTGGCTTAAGCTGCCCCTTCCGTGCTTACAGAAAGAGGTAACCTGGTGTAATGGGACACTGAACAGTGGATCAGTCAAAGCTAATCAAAAGACTACACTCTATTTAAGCCAATAACATATCAGGACCAGACTAATCAGATTTTCCCAAGACTCTGAAGTCAGATACACATACCCAACATTCATTAGGTGATTGACAATGCTTTCAAGAACATTGGAAGTGAACATAAATAGTAGAATCAGAGTGATTTTGAAAACCATGTAAAAATCCACCTTATTGGTAAGAACCTCAGTCCCCACTGAGATAATAGAGTGTTCCAATAGATAAGAGACTGGCCCCCGCTAGAAAAAAAGAAATCAAGAAACTATATGACTTAGCTCCTATAACCACCTTCTAAGCCCCTACACCATCCTCAGGGGATTTATTTGTAATTTTAATGACAATAATAATTAGTAAAACTGTTATTTATTGAGTGTTTACTCTGTGTCAAGTGCTATTCTAAGACCTTTATTTTTACTAATGCATTTCAATCTCACAACAGGCTCCTGAAGTAACTACTATAAGTTCATTTTACAGATGTGGAAACCGAGACACAGGTATCAGGTAAACTCAACGAATAAATTGGACATAAACCTCTGATCCCAAAACCCATACTCTTAACTTCTGTGCCACTCCTCTTCTTAAATACAAGTTGAATTAGCCTACTACTTGCCCTTGAGGAGCTATTTCAAGATCGAGTGCCTTGCTGCTTGTAGCCAAGTGAGTTAATATATCAAGTACATGGTCCTAAAATTCAGCAATAACATGGAATAGAAACCAATGGTTCCTGTCCAGCTCTTTACCCCTTCTTCCATTTGGGAAACTCTCCCCTACTCAGCACTGTGCTCTGGGAAAGCCGATATTTCCTGCTCTTGGGTGAGGCTTGCATCTCCGTGAACAGAGACTGGTCTAGAGGCATGTATAGGACTCAAGCTGGGCCAATGAGAGTCATCTTTATGATTTTGCTGGTATAAATTGAAGAGGTCATAACTTTCTTTCTGGGATCCTGAGTCTTAAAAACTGAATACGCCTAGAATTGCCTGGGAGCTCTCTTAGCCACCATATAGGTAGCCTGTGCTTGAGAATCAAACCACACAAAGAAAAAAACAAACTGAAAACCTTGCTGATGACCTTACTGGACATGTGGACCCAGCGATACCTAAAGATACTTTTCCTTCAAGGGTATAAGCCAATAAAATCCTTTTCTTTTTACTGGCTTGAATTAGGTCCTGTTTCTACAATCAAGAGTCCTAATAAAAACAATATTCAGCTTAACAGTGACCTGTGTACTTATGGTAGGAAATATAGTTTGCCATCCCCTAAATATGTCTATGGCCTATTCCCCACAACCTGTGACTATTGCCCTAAATGGCAAAGGGGGATTAAGAATGCCTGTGGGGTTCCCTGGCCTTACAATAGGGATATCATCCTGGATTAGCTAGGTGGGTCCAGTGTAATCACCTGAATCCCTGACAGGGATGGAGGGAGGCAAGAGAGATCAGAGGAATGAAATGTAGGGACTCCACCTGCTGTTTCTGGCTTTGAAGATGAAAGAAAAGGCGTGCAAGCCAAGGAATGTGGGCAGTCTGTAGAAACTGGAAAAGGTAAAGAAAGTCAATGAATTATCCCAGAGGTCTCCAGAAAGGAACCCATCTCTGTCAACACCTGGATTTCAACTCAGTGAAACCTTTGACAGATTTTTGACCAACAGGTTATAAGATAATAAATCTGTGTTTTTGTGAGCCACTGAATTTGTGAACTTGTGGTGACTTGCTACAGTAGCAAGAGAAAACTAATATAGTATGTAAAACATCTGACCTGTTTATTCAGTGCATGAACTATGAGTGCCCTGGACCTCACCTAGTACAGGAGTGGATCTACATAACCCTCCCACAGTCATACTGCCCTGCTCAGCTCCAGGCAATGCTTTTGATTTCCTCTGAGGAAAAGGCAGTGCTTGCTTTCTGGTTTCTAGTCTTCTAGAAGCCCATGACTTTAGGATCTTAAACATTTTCATCAGAGTCTAAAATATAGCACTTTCCCCATTTGGGATGTGCATCCTTCCCCTTCATTTTTCATTGACCCTTTTCCAAGATTTGTCTTAAAAGTAAAAAGGGGAAAAAATCAGCAAGTTCAGAACCCCAGGAAAACTCAGTGAGCATTTTGGCATGAGAGAGAAAAATAAACAAAAGCAGCTGTTTTCCTAGATTTTGAAAATAAGCTTCTGGGCCTATGGTTCCTGTCTGAATGGCAAATGAAGAAAAGTCTGAACGAATCCCAAGCACACCCCAGTGGTTGGTACAATAAGGGGCTCTGAGTAAGTTGCCAAAGTCTGTCCAAGGGCAGTCAGACTCTGAACCTCCAGGACATCCCAGGGGCTTTCTGAGTCAAAGAACAGGACTTAATTTTTTCAGTCTCTCCAGTTTTCCCTCATAGAATTTTCTCGTAGAAAACCACAGCCCTATTCCCCCAGGAAATGCTCCGTTTTACAAGCATTCTGTAAAAGATTAAGACACGTTCATGGATTACAGATACTCCAACTTACATTTCATTAATGTTAGTCTTGTGACAAAATCCAGAAGTTTCCAAGTTATGGGTAAACTTAAAATATGTCTGGCTTTTATTTTGACCTAAACCCATATGTGTATGGAGAGTTAAGTTAGAGAAAAGGGGCCATTGATCAAGTCCCCAATATGCTTTTCCTAGAGATTTTATATAGACTGTTACATTTAATTCCTTGTGACAACTGCTGAGGTTTTTTTTTTTTTTTTTTTTTTTTTTGATAAAAAGCCTTAATATCAGTAATATCAAATAACTTGTTCATGGTCCCAGGACTGGTAAGTAGAGGGTGCCATGGAATTGTAACTGAGGTGGTCCTTCGTGAGTATAGAGTGTGACTTCAACAAAGTCCTTATAGCTTTTCTGGGATGCTTTCCACCCCTCTAAGTCCTCCAGATAAGGTCTTTCCCACAGACAGTGGCCAGGGAATGGGAAATACAGCCTAGCAATGGGTTCCAGAATTATCCTAGCTTGGGGAAATGAATAGGGCATACAGAAGTTGTGAGCTTATGTTCTAATTCTCATTCAGGTATTAATTCCCTAATTCATGTGGACTTTAGATAAGAGAACGAACCTCAGTGGGCCAGTTCCTTCATCTAAAAAAATTAATGAGTGGGTGGATTCAATTAGTGGATTTCTAGACTGCTTTCAAATGCAGAAATTTTATATGGGAGCCCCATACCCAAAGTGGTAAATGCAAGGTTACTTGCTGGGGGAATGAGAAGAAGGGTTTCCAGTCTCCTCACTCAGGCCCTGTCTCCTTTCTTACTTGTGCCTTTGAGCACGGCTGGAACTTGATGATCTTTCTATGATCAAGAAATCCTAACATTCCATAACTGTGCAGACTATCAATGTTCTGAGTAAATGCCATGAATTGCTTTCAATACCTAAATTGCCTCTGTGGGACCAAGTCCAATGTAGGAGAAATACGTACACAGAACAGAGACCAAATAGAGCAGAGACCAAACGTGTCAGCATCAATGAATAATGCTTTCTCCAGTTGAGTTTCAACCTGAAACATGAAACCCCAGCAGTAAGCCCATCAGGGGTTCACTGGAAAATATGTGCACAGCCAACCTCCTAAGCCCCACAATGGGTTTTGTTCTGCAGCCATCGGGGGTGAGGAGGGGAAGGAGGAGGGAGAAATCCAAGGGAACAATGTCTATTGCCTGGGCCAAGGACTTAATAATTAGCTGTGACTAACAAATACCACATGGGAACTGACTTGTAAGAAAATGTCCCACAAAGCACCCTATTGCCAGTGGGTCGATCCAAGCCCACAACCTATGCCCTCATGGAGAGGGATTAACAAACCCTGGAAGGAAGGGGGGCCCTTCAGCTCCTTCAGCTGCCTAAAGCCACTGGACTGAAGACTCAGATGGATGGGATGTGGGGATGCTTTTAAGCACCCTCCCCCCTTGCTTTTGGAAATAGAGGCACTTGGCCTCTCCGGGTTGAAAGTCCAGGGGCAGGCGCTAGGGGAGTTAATGTAGGCAGAACTTGTTCCAACCAATGTCAATACAAAACTGGTTTTCTATATGGAAGCAGGTTGAGATGAAATGGCTGCAAAGGTCATCTGTGTTTGCAGTACATGGTGCTACGGTGTGGACAGAAGGGAGCTGCCGGACTATAAATCTGAGGTTTGGACAGGTGAATGGCTGTTTACTCCTCCACCAACTTCAGCAGGGCTGGCTGTGCCCCAGGAAAGCGGGATTTGGAAATGAATAGCTAGGACTTGTTTGGCTCAGAGGGTCTACTCAGGTTCACAGCCCCGGTCAGTCCTGGTCAGTGTCAACAAATACCCCAAGGGCAGACAGTCCCCGGGCAAGCAGCTTCGCATTAATATAGTGGACATTAGGTCCTAGGTATCTCCTGCAGAGGTGAGGCTGTGGAAGCCCAGCCTTCACTGGGTTTCTGCATGGAAGCTGTGCAGAAGGGGCACATGCAAGGTTCACATACCATCCAGACTTGACAGCTTGTGGCTTAGCCATGCCACTTAGAGCAACAGAACTGGGGTGTTCTGTAAAAGCTAGCCATTCTTGTTTTGGAGATAGTTTTGGGTATGAGCCTGGATGATGAAGTCAAACAGACCTATATTCAAGTCCCAGGCCTGCTACTTACTGGTTTCTTTGAGCTTCAGTCTTGTCACCTTTCAAACAGAAACAACATCTATCTGCTTAGATGGATAAAGTGAGATGATTTAGGTAAAGTGTTGGCACTGGCACAGTCCTGGCACTATGTGTTCATATGTGGCTTTTTTTTTTTTATAGAGGCATGCTTTTTTTTTTATTTATTTGTTTGCTGGTT